ATCTCATAATTAGTATTAAACGACACCTACAGTTACACGTAGACTCTATACTTTTTGTCTTCTAAGAGTGTAATGCTGTAAATCACAGCAAGTAATACAACAAAGCTGCTGTCAAGAATGTCTGACTTTAATTGAAATTACATTCCATTACCCAACAGCTCCAGGCAATGACACTGTAGTACGTGTCAGGAGATGAGATGAAGGCAAGATGCCCACGCTCACTGCACGCTTAGGCCATTTTTTGTGATGACTCATGTCCTGCACCATGACTTCTCCTGACCATTAGGTATTGACAATGAGCCACTAGCAGTTTCTCTTCAGGATGGGAAAGATGGTGCAGTCTGTGTAATATTTCATTTCTGTCTCAAAAAAAAATATAATTCTAGAAATCAGGGGGGAAATGACACAGGAAGGGGAGTAAGAGCAACCTGGTCTAGTAGAAGGTGTCCCTGCCCATGGCAGGGTGGTTGGAACTGGATGAGCTCTAAGGTCCCTTCCAACCATTCTATGATTCCAGCAGCTGGAATGTTGGTTCATAAAAAACTCCGCAACTTTAAATTTTGTTCTCATAAACCAAAATGAAGTACTGAATTACTATTTCCATAATAAAGCTCTTTCCTTCTGCAAATTTCTCCCCTGGTCAACCAAAAACTTAAAAGGAGAAGGAATATAATCAAGCAAAGTCTGAGGGGACCAAAAAAAAAAAAAAAAAAAAAGGCTAGTAATGGAGCTGATAAAAAACCCCACCCACACAGTTGAAATATTACATTCGAAAAATGGCAAAATGAAATGTCACAGCATTAGCAAAACCTTTTAGCCTCTTCACTTCGAAGAAGAACTGGGGAAAAAAAAAAAAAAACAATGAACTGATATTAAATTTGTACTTTGATGAAATGGCATTTTTATAGGAAAAGCACTCCATCAGAAAACATTGAACCAGCTGTAAGAACTTTATCTACAGATTACTGAGAAGACAAAATACTCTATTTTGCACTGTTCAGATTCAAAAATAAGTGACAAGTGACATTTTCCATATTATGCTCTAGCATAGTTAAGATTACTTCTGTATAAGTCTCTATTGATGCATAGCCACCTTATTCTCTACCATAAAATATAGCAAGTTTCCTATTTAGTTTTCAGTTATTTTATTCTGTAAGTTAATAACTGGCTCAGGACTGAGAAATCTTCTGCAAGCACAAAATGGCTTATGCCCAGCAGATTGATGTGGATGGAGCCTTTTTTATTTATTCCAGAGGAAATATTTTCTCGATTATATCAACATAGCTGTGGCCCTTTACATTCCTGTTACTTCCCCTGAGCATTTCAGAGTATTACCCGTATTTTATAAGTGGTTTTAAGCTTCTGGATAGTTTTGAAAGGAATGTTCATCTTCACAAAAATCACTTTCCGGTTGCTAGCAAGCTAATAGACACCATTCTTCAAAGTAGAAGACTGAAAAATTTAGGTGAGTATTTTTCTTGAAACAAAGAGAGAGGTAGAAAAATACTTCATTTAAGAATTTACTGCAAATAAATCTTCCTAAGGTTTTAAGCCTAGAAGGATTTAATCTGAGAAAGGTCTACAAAATTCCTCTGGGCAAAATACAGAGGAATAACACGTCAAGTTGGGGGCAGTGGTACTTGCAAGAAAAGAGGGAGTAGTAGCGAGTAGCATTTGTATGAAATTAACTGCTTTTCAATTCATTAAACGAATATCACTTCTGGCACCACTCCTAGAGCTACTTTCTATCATTGTTCTAAGGTTGGATAATCATAAAAATTCACCTTTTCCACCACCACCCCTACAACAGCACTTTGCCATCCTTTCCACAGCCTGCTTGGCAAGCCTAAAGGACGCTGAAGTCCCAAGTTCTTAGCTCATGTTGTCCCTCAGCAGTTTGCCTCTCCAGGGCTTCCCAGATCCTCACTCTCAATCCAATCAACTGATAATCTTTGAGGACAGGACTTGGGAGCCTGGAAACTACTGGAGTATCCAAAAACGTGCTTCTCTCTCTAATGCCTCTGAAGGAGCCCATCCAGTACTCTGCTCTTTCCTGTGAAAGGAAGTAGGACGCCATTGTGGCAGAGAAAGACAAATGCGAAATCCCAAATCCACCACAAAGTAGTGAACTCCCTGTGCCAGCCCAGGTGGGGCTTTTCTGAAATGCTGGAGAGGACGTAAACATTTTGAGGAGTTGCTGCCAGTATCTTTGTGCGGTACAAAGTTCACAGCTCTGCCAAAGATTTCAGTTTTCTCCAATAAACAGTGCAATATTGTATCAACAAATTCTACTAATCATCATAAAAAAGATTTACAGCTGCCTCTCTGTGACACACCATAAACTTTCTACCAGTCTCAAAGGCAGGGATTGAAATCACCCCAGCCAGGCAGCCCCTTTCCAGCTGTACAGCAGGAGAAAAACACTCACCATGCACATTTCAGCATCTACTTGTTTGCTGAGCTTTCAGGGACACAGCAGCTGGAGATAAGTTTGAGGGAGTTAGAGGTCCATTAACCAGTTCATTGCAACAGGCACAGCCAAGTAACAAGACAGCAGGCTGGCAGCCTAAACAAGACACAGCTCTAACACCCCTCTTCCAGATGATGTTTTAACAAAGAAAGCAGCTGTTCCATGTCCTCTTCCCCACACTGCATTTTCCTCTCATTCTCTCTCCACTAGAACGAACATTTGAAGTCGGTACTCTGCTGACCTTTTTTTTTAATTACCATTTTGATGTTTTATTTGCAGGATGAGTTTAACAAGTAAGAACTCTGCTACTGTTTATCTGAAACAACAACAAATGAGAAAGCCCAGTGTGAATGACTCAACACTGACTGGGAGGATTAATAAATACCTAAGCCTTTAATTTGAGAAATTAGAGTAACATGTAAATCAATTAATATGTTCAGATGTTTGTCTTTCTATAAATGTGTAGCCACATAAAATATCTCTCCTTCCACATACAAAATTCAATCTATTAAACTCAGGTTTTAACATCGGTTCACATATTAATTGAAAATGCAAGAAACTTAAGCCAGTACTACAAATTCTCAGCACTTGAAAACTCTGCCCTTTGCTGGGCTTTTGAGGGTTAACCCAAAATGCCTTTGCTGAACAATAACAAACCACTTCTAATACTCAAAACACAGCAAGAATCAACAAAGTCAAGTTGCTGGCTTCTGATATTGAGCTTATATTGCATGCCATCAATAAACTTCATTAACTTGGAAGTAACTTCACACATCTTCACACAAAGCAATGTCACAGCTAAACGGATCTGAACTGAAGCAATCCTAGATGAGGGACCAAGCATGATCACTGACTGAAATGTAGAAATCACCTTCTTAAATCAGCCAGAACTTAGCACTTTTAACATCAAGACATGTGGCCCAATCTCATCCCTTGTGTATATCTGCACACCTGAAAAGTGGCCAGGGAAGCATTTACATGCATATAAACATTTTATGATTTTCTAAACACAGAAGTAAGAAAGCAGAAGAGACTGGTTTGCATTGAGACACGAAGATACAATTTCCAGATGAACATTTAGCCTACTCACTTGTACCCTGTTACCATTTAGCATATTATTACTTAAAGTGAAAAGAAAAAAAGGTTACTAACCTGTGGGAAGAGAGAGTAAGTCACGTTGTCGATAGTGACAGAATATAAAAATTCCCCATCAAACCAGAGGTTCTTTCCCATTGGGGAGTTCAGCTTTGTCATAGCAAAGAGCTGCCCAGGATCACAACATTCTTCCAACAATTTCCTAGAGAAGGCAACCAAAAGAGAAAGAGCTGTATTAATTAGAGCCTTGGCACACCTCCTCTAATGACTACCCACCACACCTGAGATCCTGCTACTCTCAGATGCTCCAAAGCAAGCCCTTTTACTTACAGAAGGGCCAGAAAGCCCATTTTATTTCAGAAAATCTTAGAAACAGACAGTAAAAATTTTAAACCTCCATTCACTTTTGAGTGGCATAGAAATAGAACCAAGATTCAGCAAATAAAATTCCTCATTTACAACTTATTCTAATGAATAAAGTACTGATCTCCAACACATACAGAAATCAGAGAAGCTCCTTTGAAAATCAAATCCGAGCTATAGGAAAATTCAGTACCAAATCTCAATCAAGAAGAGCAGGCCTCCTAAAGCCCCACAGTTACCTAACTTCTGCATAGAAAATTTTGGCATCTCTTTCCAGTTACTAAATATCCTTGTGCTACATTCACAGCAGTATTAGAGCTTGCCTTCTAACTGAAGTCCAACTTGAGTCATCCCAGTATGACAGATATATATATATAGTGAATATTACACTTCTCGTTTCCTCGATGAAATGGCATATCCTCTTACACATTCATTTCCCAAAAATACTTATTAATCAGCTCGACTAGAAATTTGAGAGCTGGTAAGGTTGTTGAAGGTTGTACTAAGCAAAAATTCTGTATCACAGCAAACTCAGCAACTAACATCCTAAAACACAGAATGACAAAAAGCACTAGACATCTACAGAACACGACTACCCTATCTTTCCAAACCCCATATGGAAGTAGCTCTCTAAAGAAAAAGTGACACTCATACCAGTTTTTATATATAAAATATACGTCCAGTTCTAGACCCCACAATCCAAGAAAGATGCAGACAGACTTGGAGAGGGTCCACAAGAGAGCCACAACAGTGATCAAAGGGCTGGAAAACCCACCCTATAAGGAAGGACTTAAAAAGTTAGGTCTTTCCTCCCTGGAGAAGATAAGACTCGGGGAGGACCTCACTATAGTTTTCCAGTACTTGAAGGGCAGTTACAAAGAGAATGGAGAGTCTCTCTTCACAAGGAGCTACATGGAGAAGGCAAGGGGCAATGGGTACATGTTGCACTGTGAGAAATTTCATCTTGATATTCAGAAAAAAAAAAAAAAAGAAGAAATTACAGTGAGAACAATCATTCCCTGGAACAAGTTACCCAGGGATGTGGTGGAGTCCCCATCATTGCAGGTTTTTGAGATGCAACTGGACCAGCTCCATTTCCCACAGAAGGTTGGACCAGGCAATCTTCCAAGGACCCTTCCCGTCTTGATGGTTCTGTGATTCTGGAACTGTTTTTCCCTTAGCCTGCCTGTTCCAGAGCTGGTTTGCCTCCCTCTGAGCATAAAAACATGTCAGCCAGAGCAGCAATTTCCATTCCTAGAAACACCAATGCGTCTACCTATACCCACCACAGAAAGGCTTCACATCATCCTCCTGCTGATGCCCAAATAAAGCCTTCATCACAGAACTGTGAAAATCAAACTAGAGGAAATTTGAAATCTCTTGCCAAATAACCTTTGCAAAACAGTTTAAGACAAGCATGGAATATTGCTCTAAATAAAAGACTTGAGAATGGAGATTTTCTGGCTGTCCACAAACTCCAGTTCACAGCCTTTGGAAGATTATTTCAACTCTGTCAAGTGGAAAGAAAATTTCTGTCTATCTTTCTCCTCCTATTCCTGCAGCAACTTTTTCAAGAAAGCATAAGGTAATCCAAGGTCAGCTGGAGCCTCAATTCTTCATATAGCTGTTTGTTATACAATTGTGTAACAGAATTAAAATTTCCAAGTGAAATCCTGCAACTCATACCTTCTCTGGAAGTCTGGTCCAAGCAAGGAGCACAAAAATAACAGATAACTCAGTGGAAAAGCATCTAGGGAATGGCTTAAATTAATGAATCTTCCTTAGCCAGCATAAACTAATGAGCTAAGGAGCAGCTCTTTGTATAATTAGACCAGATATATATACCTACTCTTTCCTACTCTTTCTTCTGGTTTCCATTCATTAATAAACTTGTTATGAAAAGCAGCCGGTACCTTCTGGAAGGTCCACAGATAGGCAGTATGCATCTGTCCACAGATAGTTCAAGTATGCATCTGTATGTATTAGCACAAAAATCTTGTGCACTCACATGTGTTTTCTGTCAGAAAAAGAATAATTATTAAAAGTCTCATATTATTCAGTCTCTGTTTCTGATCCAAATCTCAAAATCACAATGTGGAAAAAGCTCCATAGGAAAACATGCATTAAACAGCAGAACGGATTCAAAGGTGAACCTAAAGCAGGGTACTTTGCAGGATCAGGGGGTCTGAACTGATTTGCTGAGCTTGAAGTAAAATGTACAGCTGAAATGTTACTACAGAATTTGCAAAACTGCAGCAGCTTTTAGCAAAGGATTTCAATTCACTGCAAGCATTCCTCCACTCAAGGACATAAATAATATACCTTTGACCCAAAGTTATCTCCAATTCAGGGGAGACCTGTGTGTGAGATGAATTAAACAACTTGAGTATTGGTATTGAGAATACACTGGGGGCTCTCAAATCTGAGAGCACCAGGTCCTACTTGTAAGAGAAGCAGGAGTAAAGTTACTTTGAGAATCCCACTTCAGATCTCTAACATTTCAGCCAGAACTGGGCACCAAGCAGGTTGTTAACTACAAGGCAGCACTAGCACTGAGGTGGCTCTGCACATTAATTCAAGCAGCAATGTGTGCACAAGACAGGAGCTGAGAAGCAGTTTTGAGATGTTAACCGTATCCCCTGTGGCATACATCACTGAGGTTATCCCAGCAGACACGGCACACAGAAAGAAGCAGAGTGAAATAGTTGGTGCCAAGGATCCTACATCCATATTACCCCATTTTCATGGGATTTATTGTCAACTAACTGGTCTGATTCCACAAAGAACCTGTGAGTGGCTGTAGCACACTGAGTGCATGAATGAAGTGCAGTAACTAGGGACAATCAGGAGATTTGCCTCGGAAGCCCACTTCTGACCAAAAGGCTAATAAAGATGCAACCTCTTCCATCTAAAAGCAGAGAGAAAGCAAAGCCTAAACCTAAATTCATACATTAGGTCAGTGAAAGAGCTTGCATAAAAATCCCAAACTACTTATTCTTCATCTTAAATTAATAAACTTTTCAGGGACAAAATGACCTCTCTGTTATTACTCATGTGTCCCAAGTCCAGGGCCAAAGCACATTTAATTGATTTAAGGACTCTTTCTCTGCTAATGCTTCCCAGGAAGGAGTCATCCATCTGTAACTGCAACCTGCACACTGGTTTGCTAAATGTGAGATTTCACATATGGGTCTAGCGAAAAATGGGAAGCTTAGTAGTAAACCCAGGCTGCTCTGTCTCCTGGACCTGTGCCCTGGATCAGTTGCTGTCCTGCTCCTTTTCTCATCTGAAAAATTTATCAGCAATATTTTAATGTTGTCTTGCAGATCGCTGATTAAAAGAAATGCAGAGGATCAAGAATTAATCTGAGCAAGTTCACACCTGCATGCATCCTGAATTCATCCGTCTGATGACCATCACCGTCCAAGAACAGAAAACATATTTAGCCCCATAACCCACCTCCAACAGTTACAGCTATAAGAGAGTCCTCTCATACAGCCACATAATGGCTATGCTTGTGGCCATTTTTTTTGCTCCAAGCTGGGAGCCTGAGAATTTTAAGGGTCTATAGAAGTGTCCTGGGTTCAGCTACAGCAGTCATTTTTTCTCCTTCTTAGTAGCTGGTGCAGTGCTGTGTTTTTGACTTTCAGTCTGGGAACAACGCTGATAACACCGATGTTTTTAGTTGTTGCTAAGTAATGTTTACTCTGACCAAGGACTTTCTCAGTCTCATGCTTTGCCAGAGAGGAGGGGAAGCCAGGAGGAAGCAGAGGCAGGACACCTGACCCAAACTGGCCAAAGGGGTATTCCATACCACAGCACGTCATGCCCAGTATATAAACTGGGGAGAGTTACCCGGAAGGCCCAGATCGCTGCTCGGGTCGGGCTGGGTATCGGTCGGCGGGTGGTGAGCGGTTGTGTCCTTTTCCCTTGTTATTCCTCTTATCATTATTACTGGTAGCCGTAGTGGTTTTTATTATACCTTAGTTACACGAGAGATGTCATGTT